TATCTATCTATCTATATATCTATCTATCTATCTATCTATTTAGTCTGTCTGTCAAGTTTTTTTTTTACCTTGTGAACTTTTGTAGTTGTCCTCTGCTGTTAATTTCCTTCCTTTTCATTTATCTTATGCTCTCCCTCCCAGAGTGTTATGAGTGAGTGTTACACACTGCCTTGGCCACTATCATATCAATGACAGTTTGATTTATACATCACTTCCTGTTTGAACTGGGACTATGTCAGCAGGAGAGAAGGCTATCCAGTGCACTGATCAGCCCTCTCCACTTTTATGTTCCCCCACCCTCTTTTTCTTTTCTTCTAATTTCTTTGACTAATAAAGGAGAAAAATTCATAGACTGTGATAATATCACAGATATGTCAAACAAAGCTGATTTCAATCATTTTAAATTGAATTGAAGACTTCTTGTCAGCCAAGTGCATCATTAAGCCACATGAATATCTAAATTTAGCCATCCATGTCCCGGAAACTCTTAGCTGAGAGGTGAGATTTCCCTGTAAAGCTGTAAGGACGTTTCAACACAGAATTAACACACTGAACAGGCCACATCTTGTTCAGCTGTCTTTTCATGAGAAGGAAGAGGTGTGGTAGAATCTTGCAGATCCAGTTCCCTTTTCATGTCTGCTCATTTCTCCAGTGCGCCACCTGCTGGTGATTGAGGGAAACTATATTATCTTGTTGGTTAAGTAACAAATCCGTGGTGGTTCAGTTTGAGATTGATGATGTGCTTCTGTTTAGGCTGCAGATTGCACAGGAAGAGCATCACACGGTGGAAGAGGAGAAGGTCAATCTGGAGCGGGAGATGCGAAGCGAGATTGATGCAGCCAAGCAGGAGGCACAAAGACTACGAGAACTGCGTGAGGGAACTGAGAACGAGTTGAGCAGACAGAAATATGCAGAGCAGGAGCTGGAACAGGTATCACAAGGCCTTATTAACAGTAGGTACAACTTGCGAGAAGATGTTTTTTTCTTTCCTTTTATCAAAATGAAACCTTGCCAGAGGCAACTTTTACCACATTTATTTCAAATATGCAAATGAGGCATTGTCTCATTAAATGTGCATAGTTTTGCACAAAAAAATGTTTTGTATAGTCTGTAGACTTTTTTTTGGTAATTGTTCAAACTTTTGTCAAAATGTTGTTTAAACATTTAGTTAAACCTGTAAAACATCCCCTTAAATTTATTTTGTTTAAACATTTCAAGAGGATGCTTTTTTCCTTTTTTTCTGTAAATCTTTCAATCCCTTGTAAATATAAATAACATGTTTTACGTTGAAACACATGCCTCTTTTCACTGTTCGCTTGTTAGCAACATGTTTGGATATCCTCACAGTTTCTCATAGATTTAAGTTATATGTATCATCAAATAAAAAATAAAAATGTAAACTAAAATTGATTAAAAATACAATTACAAAATTAAATACATAGAATTTATAAAAAATTAATTCATAAGATAAAAAATGTAAAACAATCTATTATTTGAGTGCAAAATATAGCAGAAAGTCAAAATTATGAAATTTCACGGCTTTAAAAATATTTCACGCAATTAATGCAGGGTTGGCCACCCCACTCACAAGTGCTGCTTCTGTCTCTTTTTTTCTTGACAAGGATAGCGTTTATTTAGACGTATAACGCATTTACGACCACATCAAACGGGAGACTTTTCAGACGTGCACTCCAACTTTGCCTCAGCATCAGGCGCTAGTCAAACGAGTGAGGAAAAGGTACAGGTGACGAGGGAGTTTTGTGTTTTGTGTAGAACAACATTGAACTGCAGTCAGATGAGATGTTGTCAGGCCATATATCAGTAAAAACCAATTTTCCTGCCCGTTATACTATGCTCATAGTATGTGCTCTTCAATTGCACACACAAATGCGCTGGCATGCTGTATAGCATTTCATATTAAAGAGCAAAAGAAACTACGAGCATGCAATGTGGTTGTCACGTTTATGTTATGTTCTGTTCCAATTTGGTTTAGTTTTCTCTGTATCTTTGTTCCCCTGCATTAGTTCCCTAGTTTGTTCCCTTAGTTGTTATTTGGCTCCACACCTGTTCTGTTTTCATCTTGATTACGTTTCCCATATATTTAAATCCTGTGTCTTCCGCAGTTCAGTGTCTGCTATTGTTTTGGATTATGGATGTTCTTGTTTTCTCCCTGTTGGTTTATTAAAAGATCTTACTTGGACTCCTTTGTCGTGCACTCTTTATGCTTGACAGCCTGTGAAGGTATGAAGGTACCAAAAAGGCCATTAAAGCTGCCTTAAAACTGTGCATGCATGTAAGTATCCTGGAGCAGCCCAGCACTGTCTCCCTCATCTAACAAACCCGATTCAAATCGTCAGCTCATTAGTAGAGACGTTAAGACCTGAAGTGGGTCAGAAAAGGTAAATATTTGTGAGAAAATACGATGCGTGTCAGATCCGTGTCATGTTCAGCAGCAGCAGCAGCTCTTAAAGTAATAGCAGCCAAATAACCTAATAACCCAGCTGCTGTGATGTCTGTTAATCAAAGAAAAAAAGAGGAAATCAATAATTTTGTAGCTTTAAGGATTCATGTATATTAAATTTAGAATTTAGTGTTTGATAACTTTATTCCATTTCTGTATATTTCCTACTTGCTGAAGGGCAGTTAAATGTGACGTTTATTATAAAGGGTTTACTGTATGTGTAGATTGTTTTAAGTTCACTTAAATTAGAAGTTATTTTTGAAAGTCTAATAAATGTTCAAATTGATAGCTCTCAATTATACTGTAATGTTGAATGGCTATATTTGAAATTAATATTTAATATTTAAAAACGTAAATATTAGGTTAGATTAATCGTGATTAATTCCAGAAATTTTTTTGCAATTTTTTAAATCTTTTGACAGCACTATTATGAAATTCAACTAAAGTTATCATTTCTATGTGTAGTTCCTGCCCTTAGATTTATTTTGTTGAAAAGTAGTGCTTTTTTTCACCATTGACTTGCCAGCAACATTCACCTTACAGGTGTCCCATCACCATGGGAACTGCTGAAGTGGCACAGAAGAGGTTTTACACAATTCCCTCCTCAAAACATCCTCCCTCCTGCAGCCAATATTAATGAGCTTGTGTGTTTGTTTTAGGTGCGAATGGCTCTGAAGAAGGCTGAGAGGGAGCTGGAGTTGAGGAGCGGCTGGGCTCCTCCTGAAGCTCTGCAGAAATGGCTGCAGCTCACACACGAGGTGGAAGTGCAGTACTACAACATTAAGAAACAGCAAGCAGAAAGACAGCTCATAGTGGCTAAAGAAGGGGTGAGACGGTCAGATACTCACAGATTACAAGCTTTAACTGAATATAAAATCTAGTTTGCCTGTTCCACGAGCTGAACATCTAAGTAGTGCTGTTAACTATGAAGTTGTGACCACCATAACAGGCAGAAAAAATCAAGAAGAAGAGAGGAACACTCTTTGGGACGTTCCACGTGGCCCACAGCTCTTCACTGGACGATGTTGATCACAAAATCCTCTCAGCCAAGTGAGTCGCTCTTACCATTTTTGGATGTAATGTGCAAGCTGAAATAAAGACCTATTTTAACCTACACAATTAAAAACAAAGGTTCCAGAGAGAGTGTTTTTTTGCAGCAATGCTATTATAGAACCATTTTTGGTTCCCAAAAAACCTTTCAATGAGAAGTCCTTAAAAGAGCCATTTGTTTCTTAATGTGAACTTTTTATTAATCCACTATAAAGAACCTTTTGTAGAATGGAAAGGTTCCATGGATGATCTTCATGAAATAATAGATAAGGACCTTTATTTTTAGAGTGTAGAGCAACGAAACCAAACCTCACCTCTCTTTCTCTCTAACTTCTGCAGACAGGCTCTGGGAGAAGTGACTGCTGCTCTGAGAGAAAAGCTTCATCGATGGCAGCAAATTGAGATTCTGACGGGGTTTAATATTGTTAATAACCCTGGCATGTCGTCTCTGGCCTCTGCCCTCAACCTGGACCCTGCTTTCCTGGGCATACGCCCCGCTGTACCCCAACACCTACTGCTATCCGATGACCTAGACGACATGGACGAGGACATACTTTCCCCAGGAACCCTACAATGTGAGTTTATCATGCACACAAATGTGGTACAATGAGTTAGACATACTTTCATGTTGCTGAATCTGATCATATTCATCTGTGCCACAATATAAAGCTTCTCAGCCGTCTATAACCACATTAAAATGATCCAGTGACCAGTTTTCTAACCCTAATACATGGCAATTAAGCTTTCCGTTGAGCTTTGCTTTTCCGTGGTGTGATATCATTGGCTAATGTCCGCAGATGCCGCCTGGCAGATGGATCGGCGAGTGAGCGACCTTTGGCCCGTGGCTTCTGAGAGCCAATCCCTGTGGAAACCAATCCCTTCTGGTTGGCAGCACCCCCTTTATTCTCTCAGCCAATGCTAACACAAAGCAAACCTTTCTGTGCCATTCCCACTGCCCATTTAAGACCTTCTAGATGGAAATTGTGTATCCAGCTCTTAAAAAGACACCTTTAAACGTTTTAAAGTGCAGATGTGAAATCAGTGCTGCTCTTTATATTCATCTCAGTGTGGATAAACACCAGAGAATGTAAAATGTTGACCAAAATTTACCAGGTCTCTTGCGATCATTATCGTAGATGTTATGAATTAGAAGCCACTGATTCTACGTCTACACTGATAACGACTTAACATCCCAAAATAGCAAGTTTTAAAGTACGGTCACATTTAACGTTGTTTGAAGTTTTGCGTCCAGCTGGTACTCTCCAAAATGGCGCTACAGGGTGATGCGGAGGAGACGAATTGTTGAATAAAGTCGTTTTTTTTTTCTTTTGCGCACAAAAAGTATTCTCGTAGCTTCGTATAATTGCAGTTGAACCACTGATGTCACATGGATTATTTTACCGATCTCCTTGCTACGTTTCTGGACTTGGGAACATTTCAGTTGCGTTGCTGTCTATGCAGGGTCAGAGAGCTCTCAGTTTCTGTCAAAAATATCTTAATCTCTTGTGTTCCGAAGATGAACGAAGGTCTTACGGGTTTGAAACGACATGAGGGTGAGTAATTAATGACAGAATTTTAATTTTTGGGTGAACTATCCCTTTAAGCGCAGTGTGCAAAGCCTGTATTTAAACTTACTACACGGCTCTTTGGAATATTTTGAATGGACGATTGCAAAGTTCTGCGCATAAACATTTTTGTACATTGATTTTGTATATGCTCGTATAACTTGTATAAGTTGTAGTCGCAAGCAGATAATGGGTTTCATTCAACTGTGCATGCATGCAAATATGTACATGAAATCTGCATACAAATGTTTTAACAAACAAACCATGTTTCATCAGAAACTGAATATTATTCTAAATCAGTGTGCAAAGCCTGTATTTAAACTTACTACACGGCTCTTTGGAATATTTTGAATGGATGATTGCAAAGTTCTGCGCATAAACATTTTTGTACATTGATTTTGTATATGCTCGTATAACTTGTATAAGTTGTAGTCGCAAGCAGATAATGGGTTTCATTCAACTGTGCATGCATGCAAATATGTACATGAAATCTGCATACAAATGTTTTAACAAACAAACCATGTTTCATCAGAAACTGAATATTATTCTAAATTGTGAAAAATGTAGGAACAACTGAAACCACACATACTTAAAAAATCACATACTCTTGGTGGCCTTATTAATGTTGAAATAGATTAAATGGTTTAATCTACACTACTGTGCAAGTCTTAGGCCACTAGTATTTTTACCAACAAAAAAATGGTTTTAAGCCAGTTGTTTCTGTCTTTTGCTTTAGTGTGTCAGTAGGAAATATCAGTTTACATTTCCAAACATTCCTTTTGCCATTAATTGTAATAATCTAGTGAGATTTTTGTATCCACAAGGAGTCTGACAGCAGCCAGTGCTCCACACAGAGATCTGATCTCACCATCATCCAGTCCGTCTGAAATTACATGAAGAATCAGAAAAAACTGAGACAGACTAAATCCAGAAGAACTGTGGCAACAACTCCAAGACACTTCAAGAATCCTACCTACAAAGCTACCTGAAAAACTAGTGCACCTAGGGTAAAAACTTTAAGTTTTCAACGCAAAGGAAGGTCACACAAAATATTGATTTGATTTAGTTAATAGAAGTTAATTGATAAATAAAATCTATTTATGACTTATTTTTGAAAGCATCCTCACTTTACAGCATGTTTACACAAGTGCCTAGAACTTGTCACAGCACTGTAGCTTTGTAGGTAAGTTTCTTCAAGTGTCTTGGAGATGTTGCCACAGTTCTTCTGGATTTAGTCTGTCTCAGTTTTTTCTGTTTCTTCATGTAATCTCAGACGGACTGGATGATGGTGAGATCAGAGCACTGGCTGCTGTCAGACTCCTTGTGCAAACAAAAATCTCACTGGATTATTACAATAAATGGTAAAAGGAATGTTTGGAAATGTAAACTGATATTTCCTACTGACACACTACAGCAAAAGACAGAAATAACTGACTTAAAACCATTTTTTGTTGGCGAAAATACTAATGGCCTAAGACTTTTACACAGTGTATTTCAACATGTTTTATGCAAATTAAAACCTCAGGCACACAGTTGCACAGTTTAGAATACTCTAAATTTCATTACATCACAACAATGTTCAGAAATTCATGTGAGTACACACGTGTTGTGAATTTGGGAGGAATTAACAAAAAGTTATCATGTGCATGTATAGTACAGTAAATAAGCATAATACATATCATTCTTGGTGAATCAGACGGGTGTCCTACTTAGCTGTGCTGATTTCACATCTTTCATCTCTCTCCATGGTCTTCTGACATAAAATCATTTCACTCAAAAAGCAATATTTCATGTCCATTTATTTGTTCAGTAGCCGTGTAATAAGTGCCTTAATGTACAGTCAACCAGTCATTATCCATTTTAAATGTTTCATACATAACCAAGAGCTGCATCACTGCATTATTTTCGCGTAGGCTGAAAACCGCATATCTGTCATCGTGCAGTTTTTGTGGACACTGATCCTCTTCGCACTGCAGTCTTGCAATGCTTTCACACTTTTGTGTGTTCATTTCCTGTGCCATATCATCAGCTCTGTTTCCTCCCCAGCTCTATTTTCCTTCATTAACCACAGTTAATGTGCTTTTATCACTGTAAAACACACTCCTCCCAGCTTCCAAAATGTGTTTCAGGCATGTATATGTACTGTGGTAGATTTTTTTGCAACAAAGGCAGGCGTTAAACTACCTACATGTAATAAAAAAATACTACATTAAAAAATGTAAAATTAAATCAAGATTAAATCATGATTGTCTACTGACAATATTTCTGTTGTTTAGTTTACTTTATATTGTCTAGTTTTAACTAAGCAAAATCAAAATGTAACACAGAACCCTGTTTTGAACGACCTATAACATTATAATTCATGGGACAGAAACTTGATAAGATTATTTGATTAGACTATCTCTTCCACGTGCATACAGATCTCACAGAGACTGAATGATTTGAATGTCCGCTCACTAATACAGATAAACATCTGTTTGTGTGCCTCTCCTCAGCTCCTAGCCTAATGTCCCTGCGGCCACGACACGGAGACCCCACGCTGAACCTGAGCTCACAGAGGTTGGTAGAAGACAATGAGAGTGAGGCCGGGCCCCCCGGCCGCCCCTATGTGCGCCAGGCTCGCAGCCACTCAATCGGCCATGTGGAGTCTCTCCCTATGCCTTCCCTCTCTTCCTCTCTGTCTCATCCCTCCATCGTCTCTACCTCACTCCTGTCTTCCTCCTCCGGCTCTCGTTTTGCTGCGCTGCAGTACCATTCCTCATACTTCACCTCAGTGGAGATGGTCTCAGGTCTGCCGCCAACAGGGTTCACTGCTTCACGCAGTGATCAGAGGACTCAAAGCATTGGGTACCTCACACACTGTTTGCTGTGCACACACACGGCATGTGTGTAGGGTGTCCATAACCTCCCAGTTATGAATTGATAAATACTGAACTATTTTCAGTGCTAAACAACAATTTGCTAACAAAGTTCTTTTATTTCATGAAGCTTATCTATTAATTTCATGCTAATTAATATAAGATATTTTTGTGAATGTCAATTTTGTATCTGTAATACGTTATAATTATAATATATTTACTATATTATAATTATATTATAATTTCACTTGTCATGAACTAACTTTTTAGTTAATAGTTAATCTCCATTTAACTATTTAAATGTAAACACTGTGAGAAACTGAACTAATCCAGCATGGAGTCAATATGAAATCAAAATTGACTCTAAGGCCACATTCACACAGCAGCAGAATACGGTCGTCAGTCCTGTATTTGAGTCCTTAATACGGTTACGTTCACACAGTACGGTTATTTACAGGCGTTGAGCTTGAATTTTGAACTTAAATTTAAATTTTGAACTTAAGTTCCATCCAGGGTTAAGTTAATTAAAACTAAAACCATCTTTGGTTCTTGAAAATAAAATAAATGTAAACTGAAAGACAGACAGACAGACAGACAGACAGACAGATAGATAGATAGATAGATAGACTATAATAAAGAAAAAATAAATAAAAAGTAATAAAAACTTTGTAGAAATATAAAAAAAACAATAACTAATAAAATGATAAAACACAATAAAAGTAATTAAACTTAAAATGAAAACAGAAAATACAAAAACAAAAAATAATTAAAGATATTGAAAAATGATAGTAGTGTGTCAATGATACTAAAATAGCACTGGTTCTGCCTCTGAGGAAATAACAAATTTTAGGAGGTGATATTACCTAGGCCATACAGATAGGGAAATGGGGAAACTGTTTGTTCTATGTATAACTATTTATAATAATTATAACATTATATAATTAAATTATTTTATAATTTTATATTTTTAAATAATTTTAATTTTGAAAATTGGCTTGTTTAATACTACAGCTGGAAAAAGCTACTGCTTTTTTTTTTTTTTTTGCCAATTTAATGCTGATTACCATTGCTATAAATGGTAAGGTTGTGGGAATAATAGCAAATCATGATAGATTTTAAAAAGTCATTGAAATATGTGAGATAATTTTGAGGGTGAACTTGACTCTTTGACTTCAGTCAAAAGTTCTGTAGGTGCTTGAGTTGTTTCAAGAGCGGGTAGTCACCACCATTCCACTACAAACAGCATTCCCAATGTTTCACTTGGGAAACACACTGTTTTATGGAAGTAAATGGGTTGTGGCTGCCCTTTCATGTTGACTTGAAGTTCAAAAATTGAAACTTACAGACTAAGGGAAAGCAAATGTGTAGGTTCTGATATCCTCTTCTCTCCTTATCCCGTCATCAAGGGATCTGAACCGGTCCGAATCGGATTCCTCCCTTTCGGTGTCTCAGTACGGAGACGCCCAGCGCTGCACCTCAACTCCACTCTACAATAAGCTGTCCAGATCCAACAGTGGTTCCTCCACCAACAGCCCTCTGCTGCAGAAAAAGACCTTTGGCATGGAGAAGTGTGCCAGTCTCGGAGAGATCCGCTCTCAGCCGTCTAGCCTCAACTCAGTCGACTCGATGCGCTCTCTCATCTACACCTCCGAGCAGGACGGCCCGTCATCGCCTACAGGAAAGGGTGGTAACCGAATCTCTCAGATCACAGGCAAGAAAATCCTGGTGGACGAGGACAGCGGCTCCACAGGAGACGACACTGAAGGCTCCAGCACGGGCCGCAAGAAGCACACCTTTACCAAACTCTTCAAGAGGCCGAAGAAATAACAGCAGTATGGGGAAATGCCAAACATAACAGGACTAAGACTAGCACAATGGTACTTTTTAACCTTGAAGAGTTTTAGTAAGAACGTAATTTATGTGGAATTTTTGATTTATGACCAACGGGAACAGAAACAGTCATTTGTTGGGAACAGGTATGATATCACTGTACATTTATTTATTACTAGATTTTTGGTGTGAGAGTTTCTTCTGTTTTTATTTGTAGTTAGCGTGAGCTGGAGCTTTCACTCTCAAAGCAAACACATGCAAAGGCTTTCAGCACATACAAATGACTTCACCTACTCTATGCTGTTGGTTTACATAGGATTTGCTTGGACTTCTTTCGTTTTCACATGCAGCAGCCAATCATTGTGTCCCCCTGCTGAAAGCACACCACCGTATGACCCAGTCCTTGTACGCAGCAACTGTGCGCGTGTATTGGCGGATGTTACTTGCTTTAGGATTCTCCTTCTGTTATCAAAATCTGTTTTAAAATGTTTTAAACGTGTTACTTCCTCACAGAGGAAATAGGTGCCTTTCATTTTAAGCATTGCCAAATGTTATTGCAGTGAACTGCCTTTGTGTGAGCCACAGACAGGAAATGTACTGTAGTTCTCGTCTCTGGCTTGTAACTACATGCCTTTAACTTGATTCATGCTACATGCCACTGAAGTCCTTTCATACCCGAGAAGTAATAAAATAAGATATAAAAAGGGAGGGTATTTTGCGAATTAAAAGTTGTGTGCTGACATAAACTGGGGAGTTTCTTTTCTTGACAAAAACAGTAAGCTTTACATTTTTATATAAATTTTGTCATTACTGTATTAGCTATTTTTTTTCACATTCAATTTTAATTTTGGCAGTCTTCGTAAGGAAATTTAAAGGCCAGATTATTAATTGTATATTTAATTTGACAATGTATTGTCTGTAGCGAATCAGCTCAAAGGGGAAATAGGAATAATTAATCATAACTAGTTATAATTAATTATAAATATTTAGATCCGCTGTAAGTATTTACTTGACCTCTCAGGGTCAACTGACGCTACATATCCATGTGAAAATCTAAATGAAATTAATTTTATTTTTTTTATTTTGGCACATACTCAACCATTCATACTGTAAATTTGGGGTCAATAAGATTATTAGATTTATTTTTAAGAAATAATTGTATTCAGTAAGAACACATCAAATTGATCAAAAGACAAAATATATGTATATATATATATATATATATATAACTTTTATAAATAAATAATTTTGTTTAATTATTTGATTTATTTAATTTTACTGACACCAAACCTTTGAACGGTAGTGTTCTTTACGAACAAATCAGTTATTAGTTTTTTTTCTTAAATTAGCAGAAACTATATTCCATAAACCACAAGCAGAATTTAGGTTTAATTTGAGACTTTCTTAACCAAAAATAAAAAGTTTGATAGTTCTCAGGGCTAAGCGTAGGTTAACTTCCTCAGCATTGCATTTTTTGAAAAACCTCTGCGTCATGGAGCTGTTGAAAATCTGTCCAGGAAGTAGTTATTCCATCACTGTTCACAGAAATCCACTGTGAAACATACACCAACGCAGTAGACAGACCCAACACTGCACATATTCAGTCCCTGAGTGTGTATATATATATATATATATACATACACCAAATTCTTGAATTGTTCATGCAGGCTAAGCTGAACTCCATAAATGCCAGAGCTATTTTTTGCCAGTGCACTCTGTACACATTTCTCTGCTGTTTTTAACATCTGCTGAAGGTTTGTTTGCATCAACTGCGGTGGAGCAGAACATTAAATGGCTAGGCACGCTCAGAGAAACCGTCTAAACCAAGATAGCTCAATGAGTTAGTGTCCAAAACAAAGCCCCAATAAGGGCAGGTTTACCATTGTTAACATAGTGCTCTGAATAAACAAACCTGTTTCAGCGCCTCCTCTGTCATAAGGAAGTTTGCTTTATTCTGAAATAAGCTGAATCTGCCCATGGTAAACAAACAGCTTCAGCTGAGAACAACTCATGAAACCATTTTGATTTTATTTGCTGAATTCGTGGCACTTCAAAAAGGTTATGATAGCATATTTAAACATTCTAAAGAGGCTTTACAATGCCTCTTGTACTACATTTTATTTTATTCATGTGAACTGTTACTATATCAAATAAGTTCTGTTTTGTTAAACAATGTCTACTAAAGGCATTGACCTGATTTGATTTGACCTGGCTCTTGTAAATGAAAAACATATCATGTTACTAGGTCTGTTACCTTATAAAATAAGCCTATACACTCTTTGATGAAAAGACTAGATGAACAGCATGAAATGGAGTCCTTAGGACATCAAGTATTCAGCCAAAGAATCCAAATGTCTTTTGGGTTTCTCGGTCTCTGGCTTTGGCCCAGTACTATGTCAAATGAGCAATGAGCATAAATAAAAAAAATTGAATTGTATTAAATGTCCTATAAGACAGTCAATTCATTTCAGTCCAGCTGGACTGGTGAGGAAGAGTGTACGATTCTCCAAACCAAAGTCCTCCCCAGTACTTGTCTTTCTGAGATTCAGTAACGCCTCCTAACATTTGGGGCAGTGTTACGCCTCGCTTATGGCCTCCCAGTTCATGGAGGTGAAGTCCGCTTCAGTCAGGTTAACCGTGAAGGGTCCCTCAACTCTCTGGGGTTCCACGTGCTGATCCTGAGAGGTTGTGTTGATGTTGTTAACACGCCAGGAGTTGAGGGGACGGATGGATTTCTGGAAGCGCTGAACACAAGAAACGTATGTCAGAATGAACATGTCACACACATACCTGCTGATACAATTCTAAATAAGAAAAAATAACTCTGGCACAAAATATATTTATTTTAAAATTCTCTAAAAATTACATTATATGTATGTGTATATATATATATATGTATATGTATATATATTATAGTATATTATATTATAAGGTAATAATAGTATATGTGTCAAGATTCTTTTTAATGTTTTTGAAAGAAGTTGCTTATGCTCACAAAGGCTGCATTTAGCTGATTACAAATACAATAAAGACACTAATACCGTTAAATATTATTATTATAATTTAAAGTAACTGTTTTCTGTTTTAAAATGTAATTTATTGATGTGATGGCAAAGCTGAATTTTCGTTTCATTACTCCAGTCTTCAGTGTCACATGATCCTTCAGAAATCATTCTAATATGCTGATTTGCTACTCAAGAAACATTTATTATTATTATCAGTATTTGAATCAGTTGTGCTGCTTAACATTTTTGTGGAAACAGATACATTTTTTTCAGGATTTTTTTTTTGATGAATTAAGGTCAATTGAACAACATTTATTTGAAAAAGAAATCTTTTGGAACATTATAAATGTCTTTACTGTCACTTTTGATTAATCTTATGCATTCTTTCTGAATAAAAGTATTAATTTCTTTGAATCTTACTGACCTCGAATGTATAAATAAATATGGTGGTTTTGAAGGGACTTACATCTTTAAGAGTGCCAGACTCTTTACTGACGGCCACTATGGCCCAGATGAGAATCTGCAGACAGCAGAAGGCGCCCATACATACGCCCAACGCTTTGCCCCAGGTTGGGTACACATAGGTGCCATAGTGCAGAGACGTTCGGTACATCTCGATGAAGATGTAGGTCAGAATGAACTGCACAGAGAAAACAATCTGAATATAAAGACTGAGGCCTCAGTCTGTGAATGGGACTATCACTGTTAATGAGATTCAGTGTCTCAGCAACTGAATTATTCATTACGCTGGATGCAGGGCAGTCATGGTGTTTGATTCCACTCTGCAGCAGAACCAAGTTTCTGACTGTACTGCAGTGTGATTCTGCTCAAACCCTTATAGATGAATATTTCCATTTAACATTTACAATTATATAACTGTTCATCTTAAACAGAAACCTCATAACATGCATCATTACATATTAAAACATGAGGGTGATTTCAATAAACCAAACCAAAAACAGGACACCCACCGTTAGCAGGAAGGGGGTGAAAACCACCCAGCAGGCTTTGAAGTACAATAGCAGTTTTGTGCACCAGGGAGGACAGTGACAGATCATGTCCACAATGTCCTGACAGAACTGGTTCACCCCTGCAATTACATCAGCATATGCAAATATAATATAGATCACAGTGCAGTCACATCACCTATAAAGAACTGCAGCTAAAGCCCGGCTCACACTGTACAATTTTGGCCACGATTTGGTCGTCTGAGACTAATTTTGAAAATCCTAAAAGATTCCTATAATCCTAGGCTAAAATCTGTAGTCTTTGTTTGACATGTTTCATATGATTCGTTGCCTTTGCTATGATAAACACCGGTTGTGCTGCAGTTTTCATGTGGGTGTGTAGTGCTGTTTGCACTATTCTGCATAAATACGCCGGTATTGCCGCCATTCATATACTTTTAATGATAGCCAACATTACAGCCCCAACAATGCAATGCAGCTCGCATTCACTGAACGTGTATGTATGGGTTGATAAGGTAAAACTCCGGACAAGTTTTCTTGCGCGCACCCGTTTTTAACGCGTCTTGACTGTCGTGACATTAATGACAACTTAGGTTCCCAGTGTGACATGATCATCATGTTCATACAGTCTGACAAGTACAATCCTAAACGACTTTTAAAAAAATCGCACAGTGTGAGCCTGGCTTAAGACAGTGTGACATGTGACAGAGAAGTTGTTATTATTTAGCAGATGCTAATCATGAGACATTAATACATGGAAACAGGGTGACTGACATGTACAGGTAAAGCAATAAAGTACAGTTTGTTTTTATGTGCCATTCAAGGCAGGTTTATCTTAAATAAACGATACCACAATACCAGACTTGGGCAACAAAAAAAGTCTTAAAGGAGTAGTTCATACAAAAATGAAAATTTTCTAAAAATGTACTCACCCTCAGGCCTTCCTAGATATAGATGAGTTTTGTTTTTTTTCATAGGAACAGATTTACAGTATTTAGCATTCCAATTAATCCTTTGCAGTCAATGGGTGCCGTCGGAATGGGAGTTCAAATGATAAAAAACATCACAATAATCCACACAACTCCAGTCTAGCAATGAATCAACATCTTGTGAAGAGAAAAGCTTTTTGTTTATAAGAAACAAATCCATCAAGGCGTTTTAAATGTAAACAGTCACTTCTGGCCAAAATTTGAGTCCATAATCCATAATAGCACTTCCTCCAGTGAAAAAGTCCCTGTTGTCCTCTCACATCAAAATCCACTAACATATTTGTTTAGAACTGTTTTGAACAGTTTTCACTTATAAACAGTAAAAATGCATATTTCTCTCCTGATTCAGATGAGATGATTTTTTTCACTTACAAGCAAGCAGCTTTTCACTTTACAATGTGTTAATTGATGGACTGGACTAATGTGGATTACTTGTGGATTATTGTGATGTTTTTATCAGCTGTTTGGACTCATTCTGACGGCACCCATTCACTGCAGAGGATCCATTGTTGAGCAAGTGATGTAATGCTACATTTCTCCAAATCTGTTCCAATAAACAAACTCATTTACATCTTGGGTCAAAGAAGGTTAGTACATTTTCAGCAAATTTTAATTTTAGGGTGAACTATTCATTTAATGTTCATGTTGTGAAAATTTGATTTAGTAGAAATCTGTGTAGACTTTATGATAAAATAAAATACAAATGTGTGATCCATCTAAAATAAATAAATCCTTATTATTTCATGTAATATCTTATGAAGTGCCTCCGATAAAACTGAATATGTGTGTTGTGTTCTTCATCAAAAGCCCTACCAATATCAGCCCATCACCCAGGAGGAAATAAAAGTGAGTGTACCATAAAAGAATGAGATGCCAATACACATGAAGAGAGTAATGATGATGAGACCAAAGCTTGTGCTGAATGAGTCTATGAGTGTGAACCAGTATATCCCACCCTGTGATGGAAAAACACAAAATAAAATGAAAGTCTATGACAACAAAAACAGTGATATCATTAAAAGAATCACTAATAGACAATATGAAGATGGACAAGATAATGAATTATGATTTTAAACATTACAGATACATTACTAAACTCTGGACATCTGTACACATGTATTTACTATTTATAAAACCGTCAACCACTAAATCCTATTATCGGTCAGTTTGTTGCTCTTACATCAGTGATGAGCAGCAGGCCCATGAGATAGAAGGAGAAACAGAGCAGCGCCAGGAACAGCGTCTTGTGCTTCAGATTGGATCTGAGCTGAGGAAACTCATCCAGCACAGCTGTACAGATCCCCTCCATGTTACCAAACTGCAGGAGAGAGAAAGAGAGAGAACTTCACAATAGCAAGAATTAAACAAAGGACTAACTTGTCAAGAGTGTACAAATATGTCCGTTTCCCTGACGTCTATATCAACAAAAATAAAAAAATCAGAGGTTTGCTGTTAGGGCAACATAAGGACAGATGTGTGCCATCATCCGTTTACTCTCACATTCACATTTATGCATTTGGCAGACACTCTTTAATATATTCAAGCTATATTTTATCAGTATGTGTGCATCCTGGGAACTGAATTCATGACCTTAATGATAGTAGTGCCATGCAAACCATATATATTTACAGGTGAAACTTATATATCAATATTATATTTACATATACTATAATATATATATATATATATATATATAGGGTCAATTTTTAATTTCACATTGTCTTTAACAAACTAATGTTATGGCAGTACATGGGTAGAAACTGAAATCTGAGACACAGAGACAAACAGGGATTTCAGGTGATGACAGAGGAAGGAAAACCGCTGTGTGTTCATGCACATTTACTGAAATGAGTGTTGTAGCTCAGTGATGAGCTGTGCAGTAGGACAGGATGTACATGGTTATTTCACACATCTCTTGACAAATCTCCTTCCTGAGCACTGGTGTTTCATACAATCATGTTTCTTATCTGAAAACATGGAAACCTGATCACTTGGATTCATATCATACACAGTTCCCACACTTTTATGGATTTAATTTTTTTTTCTCGTTTTTATAGAAATAAATGGGCAGAAGATTTGTATGTCAGGTACAAGTCTTTTGAATTCAACTGAACTACTGTGGATTCAAATTATTATTCTTATGCATACACACTTTTATTCAGAAAGGATGCATTAAAATTGATCAAAAGTGACAGTAAAGACACTTATAATGTTACTTCTTTCCAAATATATATATATATATATATATGTATATATATAAATATCCTACCAACCCCAAACCTTTGAACTGTACTTTTATTGTGTATGGTGTGACTCTAGCAATGTGTCTGCCACATGAAAAACCATTAAACTCAAGAAAACCTGAATGTACTGGAGGGTCTTACCAGTGTATCCACTCCCAGCATAAAGAGCATGAGAAAAAACAGAATGGACCAAAACACTGATCCAGGGAGAAGAGCCAGGGCTTCTGGGTAGGCAACAAACGCCAGACCAGGACCTAACAAGTAAAATACAATCACCAACACTCTTAAAAATGACAAATTATGCACTGGCTTTGGAACATTAAATGTGAAAACATTTTAAGTGACTATAAATCATAGTGCTAGTGTGTGCTAAGCTATCTGGGGGATGTCAGAAGAGAGAGAAGTAACATGACAGGCTAAACAGGATGTACCTGAGTCTGCCACCTGACCCACAGGCACACCCTTCCTCCAAGCCATATGACCCAGGATAGAGAAAATGGCAAATCCTGCAAAAAAACTGGTACAGCAGTTCCCAATGGTGATGACTAGAGTATCCCTGCAAGATGAGAAATAATTTTGAGACTTTGAAGTAATGTTTCAGGGGAAAAAAACAAAGTGTTTTCCCACAGTAAAAAGCCTCACCTGATGACATTATTGTCAAATTTATTGTATGACGCCATTGACAATAGACCACCAACCCCAATACCCAAAGAATAAAATATCTGCGATGCAGCATCATTCCAAACCTGCAATGACAATACAATACAATACAGAACTGAAGGGAATGGAAACTTGCAGCATTTATTTAAAAAATGGTGTTGTTTAGGAAATTGTACCTGTGCATCAGCCAAATGGGCCCAGTTTGGAGTGAGGTAGAAGGCAACACCGTTTAAAGAGCCCTCAAGGGTGGCCCCTCTGATGATGAGGACCACTAGCACAAAATAGGGGAAGGTGGCAGTCACATACACCACCTAACATCAGAGGAAAGATGGGAAATTAATTTTTGTGTGTAGAACATATTCTCATCTGCTCTGAAATGGCTTCATATGAAGTCCACACCAGGGTTATTGAAGTTAATCAAAACTAAAACCATAAAAACATTTCCGTTACTTGAGGTAAAATATATGAAAATAAAATAAAATATTTAAAAAATTAAGGGATCTAAAATATGCCATGCAGAATAAGTTAATATGTGCTTTATAAATACTAATAAAGAGCTAATATGCTCGTAATATGCATGCTAATAAGCAACTAGTTAATAGTGAGAATTGGTCCCTAAACTAGTGTTACCACTTGATGTACTAAAATAACTAAAACTAAGACTGAAATAAACATTCATAAATACTATATAGACATGTTAAAAATCTAATAAATAATAAAATTACTTAAACTTTAAATGTAAAAATGAATATTGGCAAAAAAAAAAATCTAAATATTAATAAAAAACTGTAATAGTATCTCAATGATACTAAAATGGCCTACTGGTCTCTAAACCAAGTCTTACTGACTTCTTTCCTTTCGGGAAAGAAGCCAACTGGATGTGCTGTGCATCTCTGTAAGGCTTTCAGGTGTGTCTGGGTGAGGTCTCACCTTGCCGGAGCTGTGAATGCCCTTGAGCATGCAAAGGAAAATGACGACCCAGGCAGCAAGCAAGCACAGAGCTAGAGGCCAACGCACTGGACCGGGATCATGCAGCCCTTCACTGTTCACTACACCCAGAACCTTTTCACTGAACACACACAAACACTCGGTGTAAGATTCAAGAATTAGGTCATTGGCTTCATCGCATGTTAACAGTCTCAGAGTGTTTCAGGTGTGGTTTGTGCTACATTAGCATTAACCCCACCACAGAATACTAGAATAGATTTTACAAGTCTGTATGTGTCAGTAGCAGCAGTACTTTGGACTTGAACGCATGTTTTCTATACTTTATCACACCACTAACTGTGGTATTTTTAGATTCAAAGATGTGAACAAGCATGAAACAAGCAAAACAATTTGGTAACAGCAGTTAATGAAGGTGAGCATGACAATCAACAAAGAATATTTTACAGCATTAATTAACATATATTAATGAAAGATATTTTTGATGTTTTTAAAGAAATCGTTCATGTTCATCAGGGATGCATTTATTCGATTCAAAATACAGTAAAAACAGTAATATTCTGAATCTATATTTTAAAAATATTATTATATCCTGTCTTCAGTGTCACATGATCCATCCGAAATCATTCTAATATGCTGAATTGTTGCTCAATGTTGTGTAAATCATGGTACATTTTTCAGGATGTATTTCTTACAGCCTTTATTAAAAATAAAGGAATTATTTTAAATAATTAATAAATAATAATTTTGAATTACTTTCAAAAAAATCTTACTGACTCCAAACTTCTGAACAGTGAACAGTAGTACAGATTAATGTTAATTTTAACATACACATATTTAACATTTAAAGTTATAAATTAACGAACATATTATGAATGAATTTTAATTCACACAAACAATTATTAATAAATGCTGTAAATATTTTTATATTATATTTTTTCATTTTTAATTCATGATGCCTAATGCATTAATTAATGTTACCAAATTTAACCTTATTGTAAAATGTTACCCAAATTTCTGTGGAAAGCTTTGATAAATAATTTTTATCAAAAAAGTTTAACTATCCCAGTAATTCAAGCATTTTTACAAACTACAACATTTTTACTAAAACACAATGTAATCATTAAAATTAAATGAAACAAAATGTATTGGTTTTTATTTTAAAATCCATTTTCATGTAATTGTATTTATTTCTGAAGGAATGTCATTTGCAGACTAGTTTAGTAAATGTGTATAGACTAGAGAAACTGAGAAAAAACTAAAATAATTTTAGGGATGCACCGATACCACTTTTTTCAATACTGGGTACAGAAACCAAAAGAATAGGCCTGTGTATAATGCTAGTTGGCTTAGTTCATTTAGCAAATAGATATTTTCTTCAGTTATTCTGACAATTAATTATGCCCATTAAAATGTATTATACAAACTTTTGTTACTTTCCCTGTTCATTTTATTGCTCTATTGTATTCCATCTTTAATTGAATAGCACATTAGAGCTGCTCCATTGCAGCGGCTCAGTACTGTAATCACAAGACACTTTCCTGTTATAATGTAGGGAGCCACTCGTTATACATAAATCTTGTAACAGTGATGAACATATTTTCTGAAGTTGCGTTTTTTATCATCTGAAAGTGCTGAGACTTATATTCCAAAGCCACCTATATAATGCAATTAACGTCAAGTAAGCAAAACATGCACAACGCGCACATACATTTGTATTGTGCAGAAAGAGAGAGACACGTACAGGCTGCTAGTTTCACTTTCACTTTAAATAAAGTTGTGTATGCTTGACGTTTAAAATAAATGTTTATAATGAATGCCCCTATAATTTTTGTTTTATATTTACGATTTAGTTTTAATCCAAATGAGGCGTGTGCTAATGGAGCAAACAGCAATCAAGATCATGCAAGAGAAGTGCACGCACTCACTTGCTGTCTCTCTTGCTCTCTCTCCTTACTGTCAAGTAACTTAAAGGTGGCATATTATGCCCCTTTTTACAATATGTAATATAAGTCTCAGGGGTCCCCAGAATGTAACTGTGAAGTTTTAGCTCAAAATACCCCACAGATTATTTATTATATCATTTTGAAAATGCCTATTTTGAGTGGATGCAGAAACACGCTGTATTAGAGCATGTCTTTTTAAATGCAAATGAGCTGCTCCCCGCCCCCTTTTCCAGAATAGAGCTGCGCCATTACAGCAGGAAACCTTTGCAGGTGTTTTGAGTTGATTAGCTGATTGGCATGTCACCATATTCTAATTTGTTGGGATAGTGAATTGGTGGGTTTTTGTTAAATGTGAGCCAAAATCATCACAATTAAAAGAACCAAAGACTTAAACTACTTCAGTCTGTGTGCATTGAATTTATTTAATACACAAGTTTCACAATTTGAGTTGAATTACTGAAATAAATGAACTTTTCCACGACATTCTAATTTATTGAGATGCACCTGTATAAAAGAAAACTGACACATAGCCTACGGCGTAAAGGCTACGGCGTAGGTATGATGCAGAAGTATAAATCAGCCTTTAGACCTAAATTTTATAGCTATTGAAAAGTTGAAAAGACTCGTAGAGGAGGGAATTTAGAACATAGACTTTTGCAAAAGGAATGTAGGTGGATTGTTGATCTTAAAAGTCTACACCCTCTGGGTATGAATGAAGATTTGTCTTTGAATAGTTTTTTTAAAGAATTTAATGATATATATGGGGGACTCGAAGAGTACTTGGGTATGATGTTTATTGAAATGATTTAACGAGCGCAGGTGTTGCTTGGTAGCACATGGCACTGAGGAAGGGTTAATACCTGAAAACGTTCTGCACTTGCACTTTTGCACTTCTTTCTACATATTTTTGTGACCTCTGAACAATAAATGGAATAAGGTTATTTAGCTGCATTTGGAGGAGTGCGGATCTCTTTCATCTTTGTATCTTTGTATATTTTGGATCTAGGCACCATATGTTTTTGTCTACTGGATTTTTGGATGAGTGTTTGGCGCTACTGCCTTTTGGCGCTACTGCTACTGCTACAAATGTCCTCACAAAGTCGTAATTATGAGTGGGAAACTTTAGATATTCTTTGAGCCTACAGTTTCTGAGTTGGAGGTGTGTTAGTGAGAAAGGGATATTTGCTCGAGAAGCTCGCGCATCTGCGCCGCCAAACAGTCAATCCACTCAGCGTGCTTTGCGTATCAATACGCAAAGTACTTCATAGATATCCTTAATCTCTAATAACTCTTTCTGAACATTCTGCTCTGTTTGTTCTGTTGTCTGTGTTTCTTTGTCTGGACACAGCTCTGTTCAACGTGCTGTGTGGTATCAGCTTTTGGTATCGGGGCATTTTAATGCGTACGAGTACAGGAGAGCAGTATCGGGCCTGATACCGATACCAGTATCGTATCGGTGCATCCCTAAATAATTGAGAATTCTTACTTCCAGAAGACTTCAGAGGGACTTTGGGTGACATTAGTTTTGTTCTGTAGAGAAAACAGAGATTTTTTTTATTCTGAATAAGAAAAACATATTTGATTCATCTGGATAACGTAGATGATAATCACTGTTGTTTAAAATTCTGTTAACCTACTAGCAGACAAGTAAGACTTACTCGACAAAAGGGAATGTTATGAAGAGCATCACATGACCAGGGCAGAGGACTCTGGAAAGAACTGCCCAGGTAGTAGAACGTCCAAGCGATAATGACATTATAATAGAGACACACAAGAGTGGACACACACAACATCCCTATACCAATCCCTGCAACGAGACCAGGACAACACAATCATCTCCATTTGTTTAGCCCCGTATTTAATTACTGACTATTACAAAACAGAAGGACCATTCATTTTTACTTCTTATGCAAAGTGGAGCTACGAGACTTTAAATAATGAATATAACTCAAAACCAAATTTACATAATCACAGCCCAATTTACAAACCATGATTAAGCCACTGAGTCAATGAATTACATGTGTAATGCTACCTTTGAGGAGGGGACAACACTTCCAGACGGTGATGGGACCTGCGGCTCCATACTGGCCCAGGCTGAGCTCCATGAGGAAGAGAGGCATTCCCGTGAAGAAGAGCATGATGAAGTATGGGATGAGAAACACACCTGCAACCCCACACAGTCAAGATTCATGACTTTATAAACTTGTTTACATTATTTTTCCATTTTAATTCCTGTTGTTAATATTTATTGTTGGATTTTTAACCACTTTTATTCATACCAACAGTAAAAACAAGACAGGAAGTGATGGAATGAGGAGGCTGGATTTGAAAAATATGAGTCGGTTTCAAAGTTCACCCGCATAAGCACCACAGCTCAACAAGTTGGAGCATGTGCACTAACCACTAAGCCACAACCCCAAAATTATGTCATTTGTGCCAGTGAATCCACACTCCTAAATCACAGGCATTTGTCAATGGGATTTTTCCCTCCTCAGGATTTGTATTATTCACACATTTCACATCAAATAAGTTTACTAAAACCATGCGAAACATTTAAAAAACAGTATTACAAATAGAATATATATTGCAAATCCTTTTACATTACAAGTGCTGTTAATTCTGGATTTAACAAATCATTTCATGAACAGAACTGAAACAACAGTGTGTGTGTGTGTGTGTGTGTGTGTAATATGTAAGAGAAAAGGCAGCAATTTCAGTGTCCACTTTCACACACCACCGGCTCTCACTGTGTTTCTTTGGTTTCAATTCTGGTATTTAGCTATAGTTCAGAGTTTATCTTCAAAGTGTTGTTTGAAATTGTCAATTAAGAGTCTTTCCTTTTTAAGAATTTACTATTGTAACATGAAACATAAAACTTCCAATCTCGTTTAAGTCCAGCTCAAGGAAATGACAGTGCTTTTCTACATCACCCTCCAACAATCCATGAACAGGTCTCTTCATTTGTATTACTAACCATCTTTACATTGCAAATTTCTTCCTTTTTTGAGGCCTTCATGGTTTGGGCTCATTTGTTTCAGCGGTTTAAAGAGGAATGTGCCCTCCTCCCTACTACAGTGAAAGGTTTTTGGTTTTGGTTGGTTGGACAGAGTGCAGGATTTCAGCTTAGGGTGACTAAACATCCCAGTTTACCCATGAAAGACCCATTTACACAGGAAGTTCATAAAATCTCTTAGGATTTTTTTATGTGGGAAAATCATGGTTACTTACTTACTCATTTACATGGTTACTATCAGACACACTGATTTTTTTAATTAAGGCACGGTCACATAAGCAAAATTTACACAAAATTTTGTGGGGGAAAAAAGGTCCATTGTCCATAGCATAGTGATGTACGAAGCACAGCTCACACCAAAGTAATTTTTAAAACGAGCAGTTTTCTGTTGGTCAACACAGCAAATCTGCATGACCAACCTGAACATGAACAAAATCTGCTTTGGGAACTTTTCAGCCCTCAAGCAAAACTCCTGATTGTGTGGATTCCTATTAAAATTACAACATTTAGCTGAAAAACAGTAAATGTGACCATACCTTTACAGAATAGCTGGTGTACATCCGAACAGATTAGCTATCATATTTACTGTACGGTCACTCACCTCCTCCGTTTCGGTAGCAGAGGTAGGGGAACCTCCAGACGTTTCCCAGGCCAACACAGTAGCCAATACAGGAGAGCAGAAATTCATATTTGCCGCCCCACTGATCTCTGGGAGGCTGAGCAGGAGGAGCTGGTGCAGAGGATGGAGGCTGGTGCTCAGTTTGAGTCTGGGATACGGGACTTATGACATCGTGAGAAGACACAACCCCGTTCTGCTGTGCAGGACTCTGTCAAGAAGATAATTCAAAGCTTATGATCTCTGATCAAACACAACCATATGACAGATAAACAACACACCTCTTTGTCATCCAGAATATCTAGAACTAAAATTAAAAACCAAAATTTGCTGTCAAAATGAACACTGCTACCTATCTGGCCTTAAAACCTTCAAACTTCTAGCTTTTAAAACTACTTCACCATGGCTTTCTCAAGCCAACATCAAAGTTTGCCTAGGCTTTTTTAAATCTAGTTTACATTACTTATCTTCTCATCTGTATACAATATAAAAACATGTACTATAGTCTACTATGCAGTCCAGATTGAGGAACTAATGGTCAGTTTGGTCAGTGTAGTGTGTATCCAAGTGAACCAAAAGGGAAGTATCTTGATTGCTAAAGGAACATGGATGACACGCTACTGAAAAAGGCTGTCACCGACATCATTTGCAGGCATTTTTCATCATATAAATATTAATAACATTATCAATAATATTCATAATTATTATTATATTTTTTTTCTATGGTTGCCTATAATTCTGACAAAATGCAGGCCTACATTAAATTATGTAAGGGGGTCCTAAAGGTATAGCAACTTCATCCAAAAAATGAACATGAGTCACCATTCACTGTTATTGTATTGAAAGAAGATGCAATAAAAGGGTATGGTGACTGAAAGCTGTAATTCTCTTTTTGTGTGGAAAAAGTCAAAAAAAAATTTAAACCAAATGGGGGTAAATAATGTCAGAATTTTAATTTTTGGGTGAAGTATTCCTTAAGACGTTTAATAATACTAATCACACACACACACACACACACACACAACACTAGAGTTAGCCGTGGTGAAACGCAGCCGTGGACAGGAATGAGGACAGACGTGTTGTGTTACCTCGACAGACCTGCAAGCCAACAAGTGTTCAAACGACTCCAAGTTTCTTTCAAAACTCAAATAACATCAACCCATGAAATTTTCTCGTTTAAAATAAGTATTAGTGTGTATTTGAAGTACCTCTCTAGTAGGAGCTGTGCTCACAGTCACGTTCCCAGGTGCTGTTCTCGTCTCCTCACTCGGCATCTCCCCAGCGCTTTTCTTCTGATGCTCGCTACATTGTTCACTTAATGGTTTCATCGAAACTCCTGGTTGACTTTTAAAACAGACTGTAATGTTTTAGATACCTTACATAAACCACGTTAGAATAAAACAGAGTAACCTTGAATAAAAAGCGCAGGTGGACTCCGATGATCCATGTTGGTTGGGGGAGGGAGAAACAGTCAATGAAGGGAGGCGCCGGTGTGTGTGTGTGTGTGTGTTCCGCACACAGTGCTCACCTGTCACCTTCCTGTAGGTAAACTCGTAATGCGCCTCCTAAGAACACTACTGGTCATTCCCATTCTCCATAATTTTAATATTTATCAGTACATATGTTTAGCTTTCAGTCTGTCACTGTCTTTCTTTGTTGACAAGTCCTAGTGTCTCTATACTGCGTAATTTATGGTAGGATAATGTGTCTCAGATGTGACATCGAATGTGAAAGGTTTATTTTCGTAAGGCAAAAAAAAAACAAAAAACCGTCAGCTTTCAAACATCTCACTCTACGAAGCGAATTGTCTCGATGGAACAGGAAGCCACTTCACCAAGTTCATTACAACAGCAGGAAACCGCAGTGTGTTCTGGCTTGGTATGACATAAACTCAATTTGTGAGTCAACAACAAACGCAAAAATGTATTTTTCAAAATATATTGTGAATACATCTAAATAGTTTTATTCAGTCAATATAAATAAAATATAAGCCTACATTATATTATATTTCTATTTATATTATATTTTGGTATTAATATAAATACCAAAAGCTCTCAGATTACAAAATGGCATTAATCAACATATTATCTCAACATAAGTTCTACAAACTTTCAAATACTGAGCTCTGCAAAAACCATGACTAAAACAGAAAATAATGTAAACATTTTGCTTTATAGGGCCCAAGCCCCAAGGGGGCGAAGACAATATATTACGACATGACAGATCCCCACCAGTAAACTGATGCCTCGTTCTCTATTTATGACATACTGACACAAAGTTCAAATGATTTGCAATTGCCTCTAGGTGTTGCAGTGTAGACACAGTGTTTATTATTATTATTATCATTATTATTATTATTATTATTATCATCATTATAATTCATGGTTTTGGGGGATTTGGGTCCCGTAACATGCTCAAAAGCTCTTGAAAATTAGCACACACCTTGAGGACTGGGCAGCAGCTGGTACACGGGCGTTGCAGAGGGGCTTCACAGTGCCCCCTGGAATGCGGTGGTCCATGTATCATACATACTTGCACGTATATATATGAAACTTGGTACACATATAAGCTGCTTTCACACCATGTCGTAATTACCGTAATTCCGAGATGACAACACGTGACATTCAACTTGGAGCTGTTCACGTACCCGGACTCGGAGGTGGTGCCTACGTAGCGCCTAAATGTATCTGCTGGCGGTTAGGTGGTACAGTGGTCATGTGGTCCAAGTCATAGCTCTCAGAACATTCCCAGCTTACAAGTTGTAATTCCGAATTCTGTGAGCATGAGAACGCTTTGATGAAGATAGTGTTGCCATAGAAATGCACAATTCCAAGTCGGAGGGTTTGGAACAGTTCAGAAAAAAACAAAAAAGTGGTGCAGTCGTGACCTAATGGTTAGAGAGTCGGACTTGCAACCCGAAGCTGGCGTGTTCAAGTCTCAGGTCTGGCAGGAATTGTCGGTGGGGGGAATGAATAACCAGCACTATGCAATAGTAATTATGAAAGTCACTCCCCATACGATGACTGATATAGTAATTAATATAGCAACAATGGATGGGACAAAAAAAAAACTAATATGTTAAAATATATCTTTATTAAGTCTTGCAGTTTAAATATTATTATTAAACGTATTAATTTGCCTCTGAGTCTGTGATTACAACATGTGTAAGATAACAGCTATGATGCACAGGAGTTATTTTTGTCTACCTGATGTATTTAATGTGGGGGTGGTTCGGGTTGCGGTGTGTTTTTGTCAAACGGGTTGGGTCGGTTATGGAATTAAAATAAGTGCTGCTGTTGGATAATGGGCCGGGTGTTCTGTTAAGTACTGTGGGTGTGGGTTTACCAAACAGGACCCGTGCAGGACTATTGGACATTTTAACTGACAGATCAAGGCTGTAATATTATGGTTGTCCATTAGATGGGGATGCATTGGATAAGAAATCCTAATCCTTTTTCTTCTAAGTTTCCATCACTTAGAATGACAAATAAAGGAATAGAAACAGTTGATATGTACTGTACTGGCGATGTAGTTTTATATAATTATATTAAAAATGCTTATAGATCATTAAAATAATTAAAACATAAATAAAATAAATAAAAACAGACTGAAGCCACTGGGGTAGTGGTGGTGCAGGGGCTTGGGCCTGTCATTGCTGCTTGCAGCTATATTTTTTCACGTTATTGAAATGAGAGCATGGGATGAGAGTTTTAGAGGTTTCAGCCTTTATAAGGAGGTATGACCTGTACTTGCATACAAAATAGGTAAATGCAGTTATTCCATCTTGTAAAACCAAACCAGAAGTTTATATATACACGTATGTAATCAACAGAAATGGTTGCCAATCAAACTGTAAATCTGTAAATGGCCGATCATCATGAATTTTGGGATGTATGTGAAAAAAAAATGTAGGTTCTTTATTGCCATCAGTGGTTCCATGAAGAACCTTTAACATCCAAGGAACCTTTCCATTGCACAAAAGGTTATTTAGTGGGAAAAGGTGCTTTAGATTTTTAAAATGTTCTTCACATTAAAAAAAGGTCCTTTTAAGAAATGTTCACTCAAAGGTTCTTTGGAGAACCCAAAATGGTTCTTCTATGGCATCAATGCAAAAACTCCTTTTTGAAACCTTTATTTTTAAGAGTGTAGGATGTTTTATTTCTGCTGTGTTATATCTTTGTATTTTTTTATGTATTGTAGCTGTGCTAATTTTTTTTAGTTGTGCTACTGTCAGTCCCCTAAGGTCTGGCTGCAGTGCAGACATGCACATGCACTCTCAGACATCTGCACTACCGCAAGTGACATGAAGTCACTTGCAATCTTAAACGATTAAAACTAATTTAGTACCTTAATATACAGAGTCCTGCAAGTCACCTGTAGAAAAAGACAAGACCCACAAATCCGTGGCCACAGAACAGCAGAATATGAATGCAATTTTGTAATGCAACATCAGATAGTCCTGACATTGGCCAAGTGACACTCTGGGGTGGTGGACCGTCAATCTGTATTAAAATTGGTCTGTGGAAACAAGGAGTTTTCTTTTTAGAGCTATCCAAAATCGCAGACCGAACAGGTAGAATATACGTTTTTGGAGTTTTTTTCTTTTATTATGTAATGCTACATAAGCCAGTCCTGACATTGGCTGAGTGACACTCTGGGGGGTGTACTGTCAATCTGAATTGAAAATGGTCTGTGGAAACAGGGAGTTTCCTTTGCTATTCAAAATCATAGACAGAACAGGCAGAAAATTAGTTCTTGGAGGGCTTTTATTTTGTAATGGGACATCAGATAGTCTTGACATTGTGGGAGTGACACTCTGGAGTGGTGTACTGTTAATATTTTGTGGAAACAGGAAGTTTTCTTTTTATAACTCTATGAATTTACAGATAAAACAGGTTGTACAATTTATGAGAGGCTTTTATTTTGTTATTTCACATCAGGCAGTTATTTTGAGCACCTCAAGTGTTATGAGGATTCAGAAAAGGCCAATGAGAATTGGTGAGTGGGATTTGCATGCCACTCCCCATACTATGCGTGTAAAAGAGTGGTGGGTACTCACTCATTCAGATTGTTCTTTGGAGCCGAAAGTATTGCATCTCTCAGGCTACAGAAAGAAGCGGAGATCCTGCTAAACTGCCCGCCTCTGAAGAAGGGATGGCCTCACTTCCTCTGAAGGGATGGGAGCAGAATTTTAGTTTTTTCACAAAAAGCCAGGCAGCTGACGGCTCTTTCACGGTTAGCAAAAGGGCAGTTTCCGAATTCCCTGGGTCATCCCTTGACACTGCACGTTCATGGCCTCCACTTCGTGACAGCCATGCATCAAGTGTCTGGTGGACATGAACACTTCACCTTCCCATATTCTGCTGCCACGGGCCCATGCCAAAGCACTTCTGAGCTGTGATGAAGCATGTCTTCTTCTGCCTCTACCAACCCCCTGCACCGCGGGTCCACGGAGCAAGGTAAGAGTGTTATTACACCACACGCCACAATTTCTTCAGGATGCTGGGCCTTCCAATGTGGCAGAACCTGCTCCGCCTGCCGTGAGCCTCCCTCCTTAAGTATTCTGTATGTCATTCCATTGGTGCCTCTCGTGCGAACTGAAGGGCGCATACTTTCATGTCTCAATCCTTCAGTGGCACAGACACATTTCTACAGTTCACCTTCGAGGGTAAGGCATATCATTACAAGATTTCGGGTTGTCCCTGTGCCCTCGCATCTTCATGAAAGTCACAGAGGCTTCCCTTGCCCCTCTCAGGGAAGTGGGCATTCGCACACTCAATTAGCTTGATGACTGGCTGATTTTAGCTCAGTCACAGGAGTTGTGCGAACACAGGAACCTGGTCCTTAAGCACCTAGCCTGATTGGGACTTCGGGTCAACTGGGAGAAGAGCAAGCTCTCCCCCATGCAGAGCATCTCTTTTCTCGATGTGGAGTTGGACTTGGTCACCATGACACCACGTCTTTCAGAGGATCATGCTCATTCAATGTTGGCATGCTTGAATCTGTTCAAGCACAAGGCAGCAATTCCACTGAAATACTTTCAGAGGATCCTGGGGCATATGGCTTCCTCAGCCGTGGTCACACCACTGCGGTTAATGCATATGAGACTGCTTCAGCATTGGCTTCGGACTTGAGTCTCGAGATGGGCATGGCACCGTGGCACACATTGTGTGGCCATTACACCAATCTGTCATCGCTCTTTCAGCCCTTGGTCAGACGTCACTCGTGTTGTAATGGTCTGGGTGTTTGTCCCTTTAAGACCTGATTCGGGGTTTCCTCTGCGCCTGCACTCGTGTGTATGTGCTGGGAAAAACACATTGTACTATCTATCGTTTTGTTGCACCTTCCTTTAACACTAATACATTCGTTGATGGTGACCTGCATCGTGTGTTTCTTTCTTCCATAACGCACAAAAGGTTACAAGTGGCGCCCGAACAAAATTCCTGGTTTTATTTGCGAATACGTCACGTAATTATAGTGATCGGCCTATGCTCTGATCGTTGGTGGATGATGCCGTGGAAACGGACTGTTTGCGCCTGGAACTTTGTTTTCGTTTGGGAAGACTGTTGCTGCGTCCCAATTCGGGACTAAAAAGTCGATTCTCCGCTGGAGGTGGACAGTGCAGACCAGATTTCACGGTGAGATGACGGCGTTTGGCAGAAGTTATTTGCCCTTCATCGCATGGACTTCTGT